TTAAATATGAAAATATTTTAATAAAAATAAATTTTTTTTTTGAGTGCCCGGATATTTTCTTCAGGGGAGTGTATATGCATGTTAATACAGGGCAATTTAGGAAATCTGGATTGGAAAATTAAAATTGCTAGCGAGGATCCAAGGACTTTTATTCTCAATCTTTCTCGCATATTCTCAAAATTATTACGTATAAGGACCCCTTGATGATCTTTACATATGGATAGCGTTAAATTCTTTTATTGTTAAATTAAGAAGAGTCCGTTGATCAGATTTTTGTGATGCGATCATATTAATGTAATTTCCCCAAAAGCGTATAACAAAATCGATTCTGTGAATTATATAAAAAGGTGATGACCTGATTAGTGAATCCTTTTATCCGCCTTGTGCAAGTAAAATGAAAAAATAGAAACCAATCTAACCTACCATTATTTGCATTATCGATATTTACAATCAAACGAAACCGTATATTCCGCAAAGTAATAATAAAATAAGTTGGTTTATTATTCGGCTAGTTTCTCTAAATATGTCACCACAATGTTAATCGATTTTCCCGCCTCTATAGATGTTCCAAAACAAAACGGACATATTGCTCTTCTTGTTATATATCGGCATTTTGATCTTCGCTGAGAAAATCACAGACCATCATCACGCGTACAATGGAGTGAAATTACTCACATGAATCTCGTCACATGCAACTTCACAACAAAGGTCTGGCGCAGTATATCAGTTGCCGAATTCTGCGCAGTATCGTACGTGTGATAAAAAAATCGAAATACCTTTATTATAATGCATTAAGCAATAAATTTCAGGCGGAATGGAATGTTGCGAAAATTAATAGCAATGGTAAGTGTATATTACATTGCCTTATTTTTTATCTCAATTGCTAATCCCCGATTTATGCTGTAGGTTCGAAAGTATCTAATCTCGGAGAAATTTTCTTATGGGAATATTATTTTATATTGTCTGTGTGGGTGGGGTGATATAGATATGCGAAAATTTGTATGGGGTAATTTATTTCGGAAATCTAGAGTAGAAAAAGAGCATCAATTTTTTTTCTTTGCAAAAAACCGTTACCATTGGTAACGATCAGAATCATGTGACTTTGAAGTAATATGATCAATTATCAATCTGTGCGACTATTACCCCTTATACAGTATATAAAATCCTCGTCGCGACAATCGATTTTTATTTTTTCTTAACGTTAATACTTTTATTCTAGTCAAGTAATTATATTTCCTTCTCTTTGTAACCAGTAGTTTTGTTAAGCAAGAAGGAAGCGCCTGCGACAGAGAGAGTCTGTCGGAAGCCAGCAATGGCGAGTCACCATCAAGTCGGTGGCCGGCTGACTTCATTGCGAAGAAATACTGGGTTTTGTTAAACATGGAGGCGCCTGTGACAGAGAGAGTCTGTCGGAAGCCAGCAATGGCGAGTCATCATCAAGTCGATGGCCGGCCTTACATGAATGACAACCCATTTTTAGCGATTTCCTCATTTCTTTGTTCAACAAGATACTTAATTTTATTTCTCTTTTCTCTAGGCTGATAATGTCTAAGAATATAACTCGAAAAGAAGGCAATATCAACTGGATGTTATCTTACCCCGATCCAACTCCGATTGCTTTCTTTCGAAATATATTTCCAACTCATCGGGGCCGAGCAATTGAAAAATATCGAAATATACTTAACTTGGCTTTTAATGAAGCTGATAATCAGGAAATGAAGGACAAACTCAAAAAAAATGAAAGAAACAATCGATGTATGCAATTGGATGGTATTCTTTAAGATGCTTTTGTCATACTGTAAAAAATTATTTCTAACTCTGCGCTCCTTCTTAATAGGAAGCGAGGATACTAAAGGATTGGGAAACGTGGATGCAAGAAAAAACAGCAGTATGTCCAGTTACTTACTTTTAGATAGTTTGATTTGATGTTGATAAAAATTCGTATACAGATTTTAGTTCGCCGATCTGTCCGTAATACGAATATCACTCTTCATAAGGAGATTAACACGTTAGCAATAAACGAGGTAAATCATACTCTTCCAAAACTGTTAAGGCCTTGCAATGGGGTATGCTTAAATTTTTATAAATTTTTACTTTAGAATACAAAAGGAACTGGAGAATATAATGAAGAATCATACTCTGATCTTGATTCAAGCGAAGAGGAACGAGATGAAGTTGACGATTTTAAGAGGGATGATGATAATGGTAACATCAATGTTAGTGATAGTGGATTTGTAGAGCGCATAGAAGAATGCCCGTCGACTTGTCATCAGCCATGGATCCTCAGTAGCGGTACGAATGTTGGAGAAAAGTTGGAAAATTACGTCAAGTCGATTCCCGAAGCACAGAAATGTGTGAAGTAAGTTTATTGAATTGCTCAGAGGTCATGGACAATATAGATATTACGTTAATCCCGGAAAGCTTTTTTTCCACCTATAGTTTCGCATATTGGAATATTCTCGACTTGAGTGATGATAGCCAAGTTAAATCTCTTTTTTCGAAGAATGACTGGGAAGAAATGATTGGAAGCTTCAGTAACGAAGTAAAATTAGTCGAATCGGATATTTCTGATGTAGTTGTGTATTTTTTTGATGAAGTTGAAAAGGTAAGTGAAAAGAAAATATTTATCTTGTTATAGCACATTCAACATATTTCTCTGATTTTAGGTCACAAAAAAAGGTGACAAAAATATAATCAATACGATTGATAGCCTAACACCAGATATTATCGAAAAGAGTCGAAACATAAAGCTTAGCGACGATGAAAAAGACATCATTAGTATTTTAAGATGTGCTGTCGTTACATAGTAAGTGAAACAATATATGTAATATTTATTATTAAATACTTTAACGTCATTTTTCTTACGGCACATATAGTGGCGAAAATCTAGAAAGAATTTAATCTCCTGTTTCTGAGGCGGACTTCGACAATTCCTTTCCAAATATGCTTGCGAAACGATTTTTAGATAAAAACCAACTAAGGATGGATGTGTAAGTATAGATAAGGAATATGACAAGTCTGATCTCATTCAAACTTTTTCCGCATTTCTTATAATTATAGTGGGGAAATAGCTTGTTGGGCCTCGGCTCATCGTCGAAACGAAGGTCGTTCTGTTGTCCTCAGAGCTCGTATTGGACAAAAGTGCGATTTTAAAGGAATCTTAAAAAGGAGTATAAATAGGCTTGAGGCTTTAATAGGTCTCAGAAGCGGTGGACTCCCGGAATCTCATCCAAAAAAAATTTATGGAGATAAAATCGATCTTTGTGTAGCAATGCGAGATGTTTTATATACTTTTTTTAAAGAAAACTCAAAAGCACCTGGATCTGATGTTCATAGCACTTATGTTCTTGGAATACATTCGTGGGGTAATTAAGCAGAAGACAATTGTAGTAATGAAATTTTAGAAATTGTAATGACTAATATTTTTCTTTATTCCTTACTAAGGGTGGGTCCATGAAGTATACGGAATGGATTGTAAAGCAACGAATTTGCTACGGCTTGGAAGACTAAACCATGCAAGGATGCCTAACGCTTTAAAAACGCTATCAGTTCTCGAAAGTTTTATGTACTAGGAAACGGAAACCGTTATGAGTCCGGAGCGAAAACTTTTATACCATCATATTAAATTTTACTAATTATTTTTATAAAATTACAAATTAAAAATCATTAATAAAAAGATATAAAATAACTAATGTTTCTAATTCTCTAATTCTTACTATTTTTTTTTTTTTTTTTTTTTAAAAAAAAATTTTCTTTTTCCGCATTTAGCATATCTTTTGTTTATCGTTTTTTATTTTTTTTTTCATTATCAATGTAAACACAAATCAATTAATGTGACGCGTGCAGACAAACAGACTTCGCCACGTGATCTTATATGTCATTAAGGTTCATAAACATATATAGTCCTCCGCTTCGCTCCAGACTAATAAAAGTCAGGGTCTTACATTAAAAAAGCCATAGTAGATCTCGGTGATAAAGAGTTTACCGCAGGTCTTACTTTTGTAGCTGCATCTCGAGTACGTGCCCTTGAAGATCTCTTCAAACCATTCAACTTCGAGAGACTTCAGCGCATTAAAGACTGCAAAAGGTTAAAAGAAAGGTTAGACGAAGAAAAACGTTTGATTTCCATGATACCAAGAAACTGAGCCATATACAATAAAGTATAATAATACTGTTCCAAAACTTAGATCTAAAGTTTCTAACAAAAATATTGTGATTTTTTTTTTTTAACAAAAAATAAAAAATTCAAAGTAAATCTTTGTAACACGTAATACCATTCATAACATACGTAACTTTATTTTTTATTTGTAATACTTTTTACAAATTTTATTTTTTTTATCTTGTTTATTAGCACAAAATTTTCAATTAGACGTGACGCGTGCGGACATCCAGACATCGTCACGTGATCTTAATTTTTATAAACCGTCTAATAATATATAGTCCTTCGCTTCGCTTTGGACAATTATTCATGGATTTGCAGGTATTATACTATGCTTATCATTGTTACTGTTAGCATCTCATTATAGTGTTCATCTCATTTCAGATTACGTTGAATGCTATTTGTGAACACACAAATAATATCTCATTTGCACATTCACATGCACACAGAAATCGAAAGAAAAAAATTCAGAACAAGTTGGTGAGAATGGAGGATCATTTGAAACTCCTTCACAAACCCCAGTAGACAAAAAAGGTAGAAGACGTGAATTATGTGAGTTTAACAAAAAAGTCAATAATTAGGATAGGAATACATTTCTAAAACTTGTAATTACTTTTATATTATTATTGTTATAAACTGCAAATAATGAAGTACAATAAAAGTTTATAATATATTTTGTGTCCTAAAAGTTTATAGTGTGTTATTTTTTATTGTATATTGAAATTTAAAATGTTATGATCAGTTGATTGGGATCTGAATTTCTATGATATGATATACATTATGCTAAGCATCTGGATCTGAAAATAATTTGGTAAATTAGATCTAATTTAATCAAATTATGATCTTTTACCCAAAATTCTTTGAACAATCAAATAAAAATGAATATGGTTTTATTATAGTATAATATTGCTAAATCAGCTAAAATTGATAAAAAACACATCAATAAAATCATTATAATCTGTTATAATCTACTAAAATACTATTATGGATTTAGATAGTAGAGCCCAATATAAGCTAGTTTCTGTAGGCTATAGTGATGTAAACTTTAATGAATATAGAAGAATATTAGAAGCATTATATCCTTTAGGTGAACAATATGATCATGAAACATCAGAAATGTAGTACTCCCGTATTCATAATCTATTTAAAAAATACTTGAAGAGAATCCAAGAATTCTTTTTAGGAATGGATACATTATAATGTGTGAAAATTAATTGAAAGAAGTGATAGAGTTTATGGTTTTCTATCAAATTACATATATTGTAGTGTATGCGACTCCTTAGTTTTCATACCTGAAAATGGTTTAGTGGAGCTAATTACTATCAAGATAGTCACTTGAAGAGATGTATTTTGAAAATACTATTTTAAATGAACATGTAAGAAGAAAGGAAATTCTCCAATCTATGAATAGAAGAGAATTTGAGATCTGGCAATACAAGTAATACATATTACTAGAAGAAGCAAAAATTAAGCGTCTTTAACTGGAGTTTTTCTCCTAATCTACTTCACACTCAGAAAAGGATAAATTGGCATTAGTATTATATGATAGTAATTGTTATTCAACTGACTATGAAACATACACACAGGTTAAAACAACTATAGTAGAAAATACTATAATGCCAAGTCCTCTTCCATTGCTATAAAAGCCTGTTGCATTAATGGGTGGGTTCACTAAAGTGAACAACCTCATATAATGTAATACAAATACATCTGAGTTTAGAAATCTTTAAAACAATCGATCAAATACAGGAAGAAAATAGACTTAGCCGTTAGCCATTAAGGCATTTCGCAAGCATTACACAATATCTTTTAACTGAATATTAATATTATTATATTTAGCCAAGCATAACTTATACTTTATTTTTTGTGTAATAAATAGCTATATAATCTGCATGTATGATTATCTAGTATAATTAGCCAAAGGCGCTATGTATAAAATGCTTTATATACATGAAAAAAACCTGATTTGCCTATTTTGGGTTAGATCTTCTAATCTATTTTAATAAAGTATTTTCGAGAAGTTCAGAAAGATCAATGAAAAGATCTTGAGGATTCTTGATTATGAGATAATATAACTATCAATTTGAGAATTTCTATGTGATAGTTATCCAGCAAGCTTGTAGGAATTATAAGAAAAGACCTGAATCTTTAGCAAAACGAGTTTGAGAGATAATGAGAAATGATGGTACTTCTGATGATATGAAGTTTTTAAATATAAAAAATGAATCAGAACAATCAAGATATATTTATTATGGGAATGAGAATATTATTATCCAGTAAGAAATTATTAGATGTATGAGAAGATAGCCCAATTATAAATACGATTAAATATAGTATCACACATACTTGTTAGAAAATTATTATATCAGCAAAGCTATACACTTGTTAGAGATGCATATTGGATTGACATGTTAAAATGATCACAAAATCCTGAATATTATTGTATTAATAAAAAATATAACTTTGAATACTTTATCAAAATTTCAGATTGTAAGAAATATAGTGGTAAATTAACAGAAATGCAACATATATATGATTTACAGTTGTTAAAAAAATATGATATTTTAGGAAAGAATCTTACCGTAAATTTCTTAGATTTGGATGATAATAGTGAGTTTGTGCGCTAAATTTTTCAGATCAAACCTTGACTCAGATCCCGAATATTATATTAATAAAATAATATACTGTTCAGTATGCAAAGTGTCTTAAGGCCAATGCATAAAGGTATGGTATAACATAAATTAGCACGTTTTTGATCCTCATTAAAATATATAAAATGTAATAGATGATACACTGTTTAAATCAGCTGTAAATCTGTAGAATTGCTTGTGTGACAAATTAATTTTCACATATAAAGTGATTTTCAAAATATTTTGAATTTTTTCTCTATCTATCAAAATAGCATTTATTTATAAATTTATTTCTTCCAGAGTGTTGCGTTGCTACAGGCTATTTCCTGTAATACTTGCATCAGTACTCAAAATAAAAGATTGATTAAAATCAGGATAGAATAAGATTAGCACAGTTATTAATTTTTCCTTAAATATTTCAAAAATCTCTTGATGTTGTTTTGTCCAATTGTAAGATACATCCTTTTCAACAAATCATTTAATAGGGTTACCAGTTTAAAATAATTTTTAATAAATTGTCAATAATAGAAAAATAACCCTAATATAGTTTGTAATTATTTAATATTAAATGGAATATTGAGGTTGATGATCTTTTCAATTTTTGCTAGATCAGATTGTATTTCTTGTCCAGATATTTACATATTCTAAAAATTGAATTTTATTTGTACAGAAATGGTATTTTTTGAATTTATTTTCAATTGAGCTTTCTTTAATAAATCAAAAACTTGTTAAAGATGTTGTAAATGTTTATCATAACTTTTAGAAAATATGATAATGTCATCAAGGTATACTAATACAAATTTTTCTTTTATATTTCATAATATATCATCTATAATTTATTGAAAGGTGGCTGATGCATGCATAATCCAAATGACATTACATTAAATTTGTATAATTCATACTTTGTAATAAATGTTGTTTTGGATTTATTCTGTTCCCTAACATTAAATTGCCAGTATTCTGAAGCTAAATCTAAGGTAATATACTATGTTGCTCCTCCTAAAGATTTTAATAATTCATTAATCCTTAGTAAAGAATATCGATCCTTTATTGTTACATCATTTAATTTTCTATAGTTTACACAGGACCCATTTGTTTATTTTTTTTTCTTACAAGAACTACAGGTAAACTCTATTAACTTCGAGATGGTTTTATAATTTCTTGATCTAATATATTTTGAATTTCCTGTTAAATGTACTGATTATTCTTTATTGACATTCGATATGATTTTAATGCAACTAGTAATATATCTTCAATAAATATACAATGCTCATGTTGCTCTAAATGTGTTAATTCCTGTATTGTAGTCGCAAACTATTAAGATTTTTCTCAAGAATATTTAATAAGTGATCTCTTTCTACAAAGCTGACTTCACTTTCTTAGACTCTTATAAAATATACTACAATATAATATTATTTATATTAGTTTAAAATTAGTAAAGTTATAATAAATAATTACCGTAGAGCGTGCTCTATAGTACCTCAGGTATTTTACATTCTACAAAAATTTTGGGGTACTATGATCAGAGGGGTATTGTGGTATAATAGGGATACAATATATGGTGATACATTTTAGCTATATATAGGTAACAAGGTAAGTAGCATTTTGTTAAGTTTGCAAGTTTTGTTATGGTGATAATTGGAAATAAATGTCGTAATCATGTTAGGATTACTAAAAAACTTCGATGATAATGGTATGCTTGTGAAAAGCTTATGATATTGCATTATGCATAAAGAGTTCAAAGTAAAAAGGCTGCTGCAAAAAGGTTCGATATTGAACAAAAGCAAATAAGAGATTGGGAAAAAAAAGGGAGCAACTTACAGTCACACCTCGATATAACGAAGTTGCCGATCCAGCCGATCAGGACTTCGTTATAAGAATCTTCGTTAACGC